TCTGACGAACTTTTTCCCCTGGTGCACCGACTACATGAATTTAAACGTGCTACTTGATTGGCAAATAGGTCCCTCCGTTTTACTATTGAAATAGTTAAATGTAACCCCAGCTTCTACTCAAAAAGTTGCTTTTCTCACACTTCCCGCCTATGGAACTCTCTTTCGTTTACTTGCTTTCCTGAAAAATTTAAATGCCATATCAGTTGGCATCTTTTGTCGTCTTGAACCTCGTTCATTTTTTATCATTTCCTCAATTCCCCCCCTACCCTTTCCCTTCTTTCACTTTGGCTCTGTAAACCTCCTGCGTAGTAGAGACATTCCCGCCTTGTTTGGGGTGAAATGATTAAAAATATATACATAGGAGAAACCGTAAGGGATTTAAATAAAAGATTATATGAACACAAAAGGTGTGGCACCATTTACGAGGCAGAGAAAGGAAGAGAAAGAAAAAAGGCAGAAAGAAATGCGAGACGATTCATAGGTGATAAGCAGACACACACACGGCTAAGAGACAATGAAAATATTGATAAGTAACAAATGAAAAAGGGTGTCATTCAATGACAGGGAATTTCTGAGTAAAAAAGAAAAGGAAAGAAAGAAGGAATCAGATGTGTTTTGATAACGGCTGTGTTATCTAGGCTGGACCACTGGCCAGGGAAAAATTCAAGTGAAAATGCTATTTCGATAAGTGACGAGAAACAGCCCACTAAAAAGGACTTTGGACAGATATGAAAAATTAAATCCCACACAAGCAGTGCGCTGACCGAATTCTTTTCGACGAAACAACTTTGGCCGGCGATAATGAAATTATGGGGAACCAGAAGTGTTTTTCTTTCTTCCTTGGAGGCGACAGACTGACTGAAAACTTTGGGGATATTTCTTTTTTGAAGCCATGTTAAGAATACCACCCATCTTGATGAATTAGCGATAAGATACCTGACAAACACCACGTGTAAAACAAGAAGTTGTCATATTGTCCGTGACTAGAGAAGTGATAACGGCGATTTAAGCGAAAGAGAAGAGATCATTTTTTTTTAGTTAAGCAAGATATATTTTTTTCCGAAACAAAGCCACGGATTGTTCACGCCCGACTAAGACATCATTGGTCAAGTGGTGATCACGTGACGCACGAGGGAGGAGGAAAGATACCCGACCAAGACCTCATTGGCCGAGAGTGATCACGTGACGCACGAAGAAGGCTGTCGACGCCCCATCCAGAGTATAAGTATGAGAAGCTGCTACGAAGAAGTGGGGAGGGCAGTTCACGCCCCTCAGAGGTATGGTGATAAAGTGGGGAGGAGGAAGGGTTCCCAAAAATGGAAAAAGAGTGGAAAATCCCTAACCAGAAATAAAAAAGAGGTGGATATGTATTTAGAATTATCGAGAAACCCCCCGACGCCAACAGAACCACCCCGGTTTTGGTCGGCGTCAATAAAAGCGAGGCCCCAACGAGCAGAAATCAGTTCGGGCTCTGGCGGCAGAGATGAGTATCCAGAGTTTCCAGAGTTGAGTTCCCAGAGTCAGTCTCCAGTTGAAACCGCCTCGCAGATAGCTGACCAAGATTCACGCAAAATTCCGGACTCCTCTTCAACCCAAGAACAATTATTTTGAAGAGCGACTTACAACCAGACCACCGAAATAATTTTTTTTCGACTTTCGTCCAAAGACACACCGAAACACCAATTTCTTAGAGATCAGACAACTTGAAGAGTTAAAACTTGCCTAGCGGAAACGACGTGTCACAATCCACAGAACGGGTCGGGAGATAGATGCAGTCCTATGTATCGAACAACTAGACATAAAGTTTGTTACCTTTTTCTTTGATACTTTGAACTTTTTGAGTTTTCATTTTATTTTCTTTTATGCATAATTGTGTAGTATCACCCCCGTTGAACTCAATTTGCATTACGGCCCCAACCACTGTTTGATCTCGTTTGGCTAAGATCAATTCACAACGTGGGTAGGCAGATTGGAGATCAATGCAGTTACCTTGGTAACCAGGCGTTGGAAGCGAGTTGGGAACGACGAGGCTGATATCAAATCTAACCAGATTCCCACCCGAATCACCAAAAGGTTAGAACGTCACATTTGGGTGCCGCGACCGATACCAAGCCAGTTGGTCGTCACAGGACGAGACAACACGACTGACGCGACAGGCGGACGTCACGTTTGGAGCAGCGACACCCGGGCGGAGCAGCGAGGAGCGAACAGCTGCACCGCGGCGAGGACGCCACAATTGGTGCTGTTTGGGGACGTCACAACTGGCGCCGTGGTAGATCGGGGGACGACGTCACAAGTGGTGCCGTGACCAGGACAATGTGATAAAAACAAAAAGAAAGTGCATATATCTAAACAGATATATGTTGTTATTTTTTTTAATTTCAGCGCCCCCATCTTCATGCGCATGTGTAGCAATATTAATGAAAAACGTCATTGGTCCGATGAAGTAACTGAAGGACGAAACGAGTCACGAAATATTTTTCTACTTTTTCGTTAATTTTCACACACACACACACACACACACACACACACACACACACACACACACACACATATATATATATATATATATATGTAAGATATGGATATAGATCCGACAGTATGAAGAAAAATATACTGAAAAATCAAACAAAAATCCTACTATGCGATTATGCTGTTTAATGTCAACGTCGGACGTTTCGGTCTAATAGACCATCTTCAGGACATATTCATAAAACATAATTAACATAGACCATATACAATTCAACATGAAAGAGACGATGGACAATACCAGTCCATACAGATAACTGAAATCTTTTATATGATCAGCGTTCCGTTTAAATATGATCACGTCATCGTCACGTGGGCGATGTTGTGAAAACGTATTCCTAAAATTTGAGTATTTTGAATGAAAAACGAAAAGAATTTTATTTTGATCTAAAACTTATATGTACGTTTGTCGAGCATTAATCTTGCTAGAAAAGGGGAAATATTAAAGAAGCCAGGTCTAGTGTTCACCGTGCGTGAGATGGATATTATGCATGCTTCATAAATCCGCATAAGATTTTTATTATGAAAATATTTTAAAATCTTCACAGAATCAAAATTATTATTTATATAATGAAATGGTCAAAGTCTAACAAATATTTTAAGACATTTTTTATGTTTATACATTCTTTTTATAGATACAAATATTTAAGTAAATGCTTTGTTTATTTAAACAGTATTAAACAACATTTACCGGCCTGAATGTACGAGACATTTTCATAGAAAATATTCGTCTACCGACAATAATAGAACCTGTATCCTATCCGGAACCGTCATATAGCCTGATGTGCCTTTTAACCAATTCAGCCACAGAGGATCGATCGGTTAGCAAGGTCAAATTTACTGCTTTTAAACTACAATCATCCATGAATCTCTTACGTACATTCATACCTGCTCATGGCGTATCCAAATGTAAACAAATGACGTCACACATTATGAAATGGGCAAAGTCCGACAATTATTTTAGACATTTTTTATGTTTATACATTCCTTTTTTATAGATACAAATATTTAAGCAAATGCTCTGACGTCATTTGTTTATATTTGGATATGTATTGAGTTCACTCGTCAGGTGTGTGTGTGTGTGTGTGTGTGTGTGTGTGTGTGTGTGTGTGTGTGTGTGTGTGTGCGTGTATATAAGGCAAAAGAAAGAGTTTCGCCCCCTGAAGAATTTTATCAAGGTAAATGAGGGAATTTTTATACACCCACCCACACATACACATAAACACACACATACACATACACATTTATATATATATTATATTTATATATATTTGTATATATATACACAACGGGTGAGATACGTCTGTGTACGCACTTATATTAGTGTTGTAGAGTAGTTTTCCCAGTGGAGGCTTGTATTTCACTAAGTCGGTCCTAAAAGGGTTCGACGTACAAAACGTTAGGAACTTGTTATAATAGTTAATGATGCAGCAATCTAGTTGTGGTCGTTGATACTATAATGTCCGACATCGACTGACTCGACCAACTCCACTGAGCCCTGGCGACTGCTACTACTACTACTTATTATCTGTGGGAGAGTCTATTAACAATAGAATAGGTATGTACCGGTATAACAATTAGTTTTATGTAGATCAACGAAACCTACTTTGAAAATAATGTGCCCTATTTTATTACGTTGACTGAGCAAAACGTTATAGAGAACTGAGTTTGAGGTTTCCTGCCAATTATTTGTTTTACCTTGCAACGGATAGCAGCTGTGTAAAATGACGTCTGGCATGAAAGTGCGTGCGGATCAGAGGTCTCTTCCTGTACTTCTCCATGCGCAGATAGTTTTCAATCATTCACATTCATCGACGGTTGTTGAACTTTTTCGGAAACCAAACAGTAAATATAAACACAGTTATCCGGGAAATTCGTTTTATAATTGGCGACGGTGATGTGTGGGACGAATCACTTCCGGGCAGATGAATGATGGACATTTTCCTGACATTATTGCAATGACGTCATTGCTGCAGCGAAAAAGAAATATCGTTTTCAGTTACTCTTTTGAACTGTGTGAGTGTGACCGCAAAATCTGTTGGAATTTCTATAAAAAATAGGTTACATGTATTCTGGAGCTGGCCTCACTCTTACGCAAATGCATATTGTATATACATATTGCAAAATTTTCATGGTTATGTTACAACATATATATATATATATATATATATATATATATATATATATATTCTTCTACATGATGATGGCTGTGGCACGATTACAAGTAATTCCATTGATTGAATTATTGCCAAATATTTAGCCTGAAGTGATCCTGGCAGCGAGGATGTGACTATTTTTTGTTTTGCTAGGGTCATACATTCATTGTACAGATGTGGCAACACAGAGAGCCACTTGCAATAGTTGTTATATTTATATTCTGGTGAATTTCCAATTTCGTTGATGATATTTTGCGCCTATTTTATTAAGGCAGACCAGACCACCTACATTAGAACGTAATATCAAATTGCCAGGGAAATTACAACATCTATCTCAATCTGTTCATATCTATCTATCTATCTATCTCATTTGGTCCATATCTATCTATCTATCTATCTATCTCATTCTAACCATTATCTATATATCTATCTAGCTCATTCGGTCCATATCTATCTATCTATCTATCTATCTATCTATCTATCTATCTATCTATCTATCTATCTCATTCGGTTCATATCTATCTATCTATCTATCTATCTCATTCGGTTCATATCTATCTATCTATCTATCTATCTATCTATCTATCTATCTATCTATCTATCTATGTGCGTGTTGCTATAAAGATATACAGCAGCGTCTACGCCGAAAAGAAATCCAAATGAAAACAGAAAGAACAACATAAGAATCAAGAAAGAGAAAGGAAAACAATTTAAAAAGCTTACAAACAACATGTAGTAAGAGTTAAAATGATTTTTAACTGATTAAACTTTTCTATAGTGTGTATTTGCAATGTTTCTCGCCAGGGGGTGCGTATGCAGCAGCTGCGTTCCATTAGCGGCCAGCTGACGGTCAGCACAGAGGCAGGGAAAAGGGCAGGTAACTCTGTTTTTCTTGTAATCTTTCTTTTTTAATCGACTTACAAAGAAGTATTGTCGGCACATGGCCGCTTCGCCAGGGAATATTTTAACAAATAGTAGAAAAGAAAAAAAATTCAAACTATCGAATTGTGAGTACCTGTACCTAAGCGGATTTGCTTATATGTTTAAGGAAACTGTTAAGTTAAAAGATAGACGTAAAAAATAACCGAGAAATTGAAAAGAGAAGAAAAATAGTTAAAACGTCTGGGAAGTACGACGATGACATTTTTCAAAAATGCATCAATTATTCTTAAAGACAGGATATCATCTCGCTCCCGCTATGGGTTAAATAACAAGGCAGTCTGATGCCCTATTGACATGTATTCCGGGGAAAGTTATTTACTCTCGGATACTTGTTAGAACTACACGACATAAAACACGAGTATACTTTCCAGTATTTAAACGCAGGGTATCATCTTCCTCCCGCTATGGGTTAAACAAGAAGGCAGACTGGGACTCTTTTGATAAAGGCGTTGGTTAGATCCAGTGACAGGATCCAAAGAGTTTGAATTCAATACCCGGTTAAGGCAGTGGAGAACTTGGAGAGGGGAATTAACAGGAGATAACTGATAACTGACATCCATTAAAACATGGCACGTGGAACTAGAACAGTCTACCCCAGCGAGCGAAATAAAATGTTCAGTTCAACATTCCAACCATGTGAAGAAGGCCGGAGCGTACAACGGCCGAAACGTTGTAATAAATATGGCGACAAAAATGAGGACAATAGTCCGAACAATGTAAATAGTTTACATAATACTTCATCTCAGAAATATAGACAGATACTGAAAGACCGAAACGTTGTAATAAATATGGCAACAAAGATGAGGACAATAGTCCGAATAATATAAATAGTGTACATAATACCTCATCTCAGATATATAGACAGATACTGAAAGGCCGAAACGTTGTAATAAATGTGGCGACAAAAATGAGGACAATAGTCCGAATAATGTAAATAGTGTACATAATACCTCATCTCAGATATATAGACAGATACTGAAAGACCGAAACGTTGTAATAAATATGGCAACAAAGATGAGGACAATAGTCCGAATAATATAAATATTGTACATAATACCTCATCTCAGAAATATAGACAGATACTGAAAGACCGAAACGTTGTAATAAATATGGCAACAAAGATGAGGACAATAGTCCGAATAATATAAATATTGTACATAATACCTCATCTCAGAAATATAGACAGATACTGAAAGACCGAAACGTTGTAATAAATATGGCAACAAAGATGAGGACAATAGTCCGAATAATATAAATATTGTACATAATACCTCATCTCAGAAATATAGACAGATACTGAAAGACCGAAACGTTGTAATAAATATGGCAACAAAGATGAGGACAATAGTCCGAATAATATAAATATTGTACATAATACCTCATCTCAGAAATATAGACAGATACTGAAAGGCCGAAACGTTGTAATAAATGTGGCGACAAAAATGAGGACAATAGTCCGAATAATGTAAATAGTGCAATGAATTCATTGTCTAAATTATTGTTATTAGAAGAATATGTGGATACGTGAGTTCATGTACAATATGGATTTGCTGAAATTTAAATTTTTGTTACATCTTTAGGTTTTAGAGAAACCTGATGTGATTAATTTGCTTGTTGTTGTTGTCACGTGACGAGCAGCGATGTGTGAAGTTTCTTATAATGTTTTCACATCGTTTCTGGTTGCTGCGCAGTTGGTTTCTGTCGATTGTTTTAATGATATTTTTACATTACTGTTATTCATATTATTGTTCGTATTTATTTCTTCTAAGGTTACAGTAGATTTCGAAAGTTTCAAATGTAATAAAAGAAAGTGGAAATGATTTCTTTTTTAAAAAACCATTTCATCCGAAGCAAGACAATAAAGCCACTAAGACGTAAAAGGTTGCTGAGCGTGAAAGAATATGAGAATAAGAAATAGAAAAACCATATGAGACAGAGGGAACAATAAATGAAAGTGAATTAAAATGATAAAAGATAATGGCCTTGCATTTAAATTTTTAAAGATCAAAGTTGACTTGGAAACAAGAGATCGGAAGTCTTCCAAAAGCAAAACGTACGGGAATAGAAACAGTTAACATAGAAGTTACTCTTATATCGAGCCATTTTCAAATGTAAATTTTTGCTGTTCATCTCCCTCCATTTTTGTCGACCATTTCTAACTGTAGAAAGGTGAAACATCTTGGATTTTTTTTTAGTTTTTGAAACGCAACGATACGCGGCAAATGAATGTTAGTAGATATACGACTTCATATTCACGCTTAACCCTTTCAACCCTGCATTCTTAAAAAAATTTAACCGTTCTATTTGAACTCCTGAGTCAAATTCGTGGCTGGGCATTAAGTCATTTTTCTCTACCACCGTTCAACCGGTGACTGGGCATTACGTTATTTTTCTCTACCTCCGTTCAACCGGTGACTGGGCATTAGTTTATTTTTCTCTACCACCGTTCAACCGGTGATTGGGCATTAAGTCATTTTTCTCTACCACCGTTCAACCGGTGACTGGGCATTAGTTTATTTTTCTCTACCACCGTTCAACCGGTGACTGGGCATTGAGTCATTTTTCTCTACCACCGTTCAACCGGTGACTGGGCATTACGTTATTTTTCTCTACCACCGTTCAACTGGTGGCTGGGGATTAAGTCATTTTTCTCTACCACCGTTCAACCGGTGGCTGGGCATTAAGTCATTTTTTCTACCACCGTTCAACCGGTGGCTGGGCGTTAAGTCATTTTTTCTACTACTGTTCAACCGGTGGCTGGGCATTAAGTTTTTCTCTACCACCGTTCAACCGGTGGCTGGGCATTAAGTCATTTTTTTCTCTACCACCGTTCAACCGGTGACTGGGCATTAATTTTCTATTTTTTTCTACCACCTTTCAACCGGTGACTGGGCATAACGTTATTTTTTCTCTACCACCGGTAAAACGGTGGCCAGGGCTCAAATGTTTAATGCTCCTATTGAAGCCTGTCAAGGCTGACGATGAGAGTAACAGCTTTTTTTCTGCCACATAGACTAAGGAATTACTATTTATATCGGAATGTAGTTTTTACAGGTGGTCATTCACCCAATCTTATTTTCATCAACCAAGCTAATCTTACAGTGTTCCGACATAATGTCAAAATCACTGGCGATGGGACAGGGTTCTGGAAAGAGTGCCTTACAGCAAAGTCAACATAAGCCTCCACGGTTCAGTGATTCCATTTTCCTAACTGATAAACATTCCGAGACAAACCATTCAACCATTTATTAGACCTTTTCTGCAGACGGCATCATTCACCATATCAGCAATATATATATATATATATATATATATATATATATATATATATATATATATATATATATATAAGTGAACATAGAAGATGCAATCGTCAGGCCTGACGATTGCATCTAGCATGAAACAGACTGTCGCCTCTAAGTGTTGACTTCTATGTTCACTTTTATATTTACACACGCTCTATCTCTGATATTGAGCACTTTATCCCATAAATATAGCATATCTTAAGACTATATTTCTTCATATATATATATATATATATATATATATATATATATATATATATATATATATATATATAGTTGTATATTTAGGCAGCAATCCTTCGTTCATGCATGTTTCATTAAGAACGACAGACAAGGTACTACGGTTGAGTTTTTTTTACTTAATTTTTCATGTATTCGAACAAGAGCTTTCATTTCTGGACAAAGAGTGCGTAATAACCGTCCAAATGTTTTATAGTTCCAAGCGCTTTCGGCTATACCTCTAACCATTATCAAGGATGATACGATTTTTCAGCTTAATTGAATGTGTGCATTATGTGTATATTTTAGTGTGTTGTAGAGATGTTTTTAATTTACGAATACGGTTAGCGCATTGTGGCCTTGTTCGTAGTTAATATTGTTAAGAGTTGGCTTTTTCTTTTTTATTATTAAGCTTCCATTATTTTTAATCTTTTTTTGCAACACACACACACACACATATATATATATATAGATATAATAAATGAGATTGACAGAGTCACTGTGTCACACACTTTTTCAATTAAAGGGACACAACTCTTTAACTTTTAATAACTCATATTACAGAAATTTTGCATCTCCAATTTTCATTACTGCGATTGTTTTCGATGAATTTTTTGCGTGATTTTTTGCGACGAATTTTTTGTACGATAACAATTTTTATAATTTGGAAATAAGTTTCGGAATAATCGAAATTAATTGCAAAATCTAACGAAAGTCCCCCATGAAATAAAAATAAATTTTTGTACGCACATCAAATTGTTTTAGATTAAGTAGTGGCAGGAGAATTATCATTGAACTTTTGAAAGGTAAGCTTTAAATATTAATGCAATACTTAAATGCAGTCATCTATTTTGAGTTCTCTAGTTTATTTTTGTCTATCGCAATACGGAAGTAGTATGCTTCGCAAGAGGAAATTTCCGCCAAATAAGGACCTGATTGCAATCAAAAGAGCCAAGGCTGCAGCAAGGAAAAGGAAGTACCGTGCAAATAAAAATCTAGATTAAACGGCATCCAGGAGAGTTTTCAATGCTGAGAATATGCAAAGAGCTAAAGACTTCCAAACTCCTGAACAAGCCAATGGCCCAATCAAGATCCCTGCGCAGGAGCTAGTTTAAATGCCGCCCGATAGGACGGCTTTTAAGCTAGTATATATATA